TCATTCGCCCCCAAGAGATTTCTGGAAAATCAGGCATTTTCGAAAATTTGCAATCATATGCAAATTATATGCAAATTAGCAGACTCTTGATGCTGTAACTGATGCTCATCTGTTAAACTATGTATTGAGATTTGGGGGCGGATGGCATGGGTGGGGGGTGGGGTGGGAGGTGGAATATTTTCTCGTGGGTTTGAACCCACCCCCACTGAAAAATGTAAATTTTCCGTCTATTTTCCGATTTTTAAACGACCTTGAGAGGTGAACATTGACCAGACTGTTTTTCTTTGTCATTCAAGTATTACCCTATAGTTACAGCAGTCCATTCATGCTAACTGGGAGTATATTGGACTTAAGTGTCTTGCTGGGGAATTATTATTGTCAAGTCAGGTGTGCCTAAATGTCCGTTTTTACGGATTTTTGACAAAACGGTGACCTAGATTTTACAGACTAGATTCCTATTGGCCATATTATACCTCGTTGTGTTCCTTTACCACCTATGCATGCATTTATGATAATAGTTTATACCTACAGTCACTACCAGTTACGTAGTGGCCATCAAAAGATGCCCACCCCCACCTGATTTTGGCTACTTTTCACGTTTTTCCGATTTTGAACTCTTAAACGGCTTTCAAAGTGCCATATTTTCATGAACAGACATCTGAGAAGAGTTTATGGACCATGAACTGCTTGGTTGGAGTCCCTGCTATCATGACAGTTCAGCTGGGGCAGTTCAAAAAAGGTATGGAGGGTCATAAGGGCCATCAAAGAATGGTTGTCGCCATCACGCCTACAGGCGGGATTGGGGGCTAAAGGGTTAAACGATTTGATCAAAATTTTTAAATTTGACTTCTGTTGGGTTTGAGGGTCGTTTTGGGGTGTAAAACTGACCAAAACACTCTTTAGAGGTTGAAAATCGGGAAAAAAATATTTTTAGTTTAACTCATTCGCCCCCAAGAGATTTCTGGAAAATCAGGCATTTTCGAAAATTTGCAATCATATGCAAATTATATGCAAATTAGCAGACTCTTGATGCTGTAACTGATGCTCATCTGTTAAACTATGTATTGAGATTTGGGGGCGGATGGCATGGGTGGGGGGTGGGGTGGGAGGTGGAATATTTTCTCGTGGGTTTGAACCCACCCCCACTGAAAAATGTAAATTTTCCGTCTATTTTCCGATTTTTAAACGACCTTGAGAGGTGAACATTGACCAGACTGTTTTTCTTTGTCATTCAAGTATTACCCTATAGTTACAGCAGTCCATTCATGCTAACTGGGAGTATATTGGACTTAAGTGTCTTGCTGGGGAATTATTATTGTCAAGTCAGGTGTGCCTAAATGTCCGTTTTTTCGGATTTTTGACAAAACGGTGACCTAGATTTTACAGACTAGATTCCTATTGGCCATATTATACCTCGTTGTGTTCCTTTACCACCTATGCATGCATTTATGATAATAGTTTATACCTACAGTCACTACCAGTTACGTAGTGGCCATCAAAAGATGCCCACCCCCACCTGATTTTGGCTACTTTTCACGTTTTTCCGATTTTGAACTCTTAAACGGCTTTCAAAGTGCCATATTTTCATGAACAGACATCTGAGAAGAGTTTATGGACCATGAACTGCTTGGTTGGAGTCCCTGCTATCATGACAGTTCAGCTGGGGCAGTTCAAAAAAGGTATGGAGGGTCATAAGGGCCATCAAAGAATGGTTGTCGCCATCACGCCTACAGGCGGGATTGGGGGCTAAAGGGTTAAACGATTTGATCAAAATTTTTAAATTTGACTTCTGTTGGGTTTGAGGGTCGTTTTGGGGTGTAAAACTGACCAAAACACTCTTTAGAGGTTGAAAATCGGGAAAAAAATATTTTTAGTTTAACTCATTCGCCCCCAAGAGATTTCTGGAAAATCAGGCATTTTCGAAAATTTGCAATCATATGCAAATTATATGCAAATTAGCAGACTCTTGATGCTGTAACTGATGCTCATCTGTTAAACTATGTATTGAGATTTGGGGGCGGATGGCATGGGTGGGGGGTGGGGTGGGAGGTGGAATATTTTCTCGTGGGTTTGAACCCACCCCCACTGAAAAATGTAAATTTTCCGTCTATTTTCCGATTTTTAAACGACCTTGAGAGGTGAACATTGACCAGACTGTTTTTCTTTGTCATTCAAGTATTACCCTATAGTTACAGCAGTCCATTCATGCTAACTGGGAGTATATTGGACTTAAGTGTCTTGCTGGGGAATTATTATTGTCAAGTCAGGTGTGCCTAAATGTCCGTTTTTACGGATTTTTGACAAAACGGTGACCTAGATTTTACAGACTAGATTCCTATTGGCCATATTATACCTCGTTGTGTTCCTTTACCACCTATGCATGCATTTATGATAATAGTTTATACCTACAGTCACTACCAGTTACGTAGTGGCCATCAAAAGATGCCCACCCCCACCTGATTTTGGCTACTTTTCACGTTTTTCCGATTTTGAACTCTTAAACGGCTTTCAAAGTGCCATATTTTCATGAACAGACATCTGAGAAGAGTTTATGGACCATGAACTGCTTGGTTGGAGTCCCTGCTATCATGACAGTTCAGCTGGGGCAGTTCAAAAAAGGTATGGAGGGTCATAAGGGCCATCAAAGAATGGTTGTCGCCATCACGCCTACAGGCGGGATTGGGGGCTAAAGGGTTAAATACTGCAAAGCATTGTGTGCTATCTAACACTTCTCTGTGCTAAATAGTTATGTTTCATATCAGTTAAAATACTCAATTTAAGCCTAATGAATGTGATAAAATATTTTTGTGTGCATTAGCTTTATTAGGTTTTCAAAACGAAGTTTTACAAATCATGAAATATGCAATGAAATTTTCCAATTTTGAAAGTTCTATCCTACTCCCCTTTTTTGCATACGATAATCATTGATTTTCCATTTATAGACTTTTATACCATATATATCTTGTTAGTAAGATAATTTTGACTATTATGACATATGGTACATTATAAGAACACCGATGTCCTTGATATAAGTTGTTACCTGTAATGTTAACCAGGTGTATACAGGTGTTACACTTTAGGCTGACATAAGCTTATGTCATAATAACATGCAATAGATCTGTAATTAGTTGTCAGGGAGGTGTGAAAATGATAAAATATAAATGGTCTTTTACTAATAATTCTGACATGTAACATGCAGTCTAATTTGTTCCTTGATTTGGCCTTTTGATCTTTAAGTAGAGTAACATATATAATATACATGTTATACAGGTTTTTTTTCTGGTGCACTCCGTGTCCCCGACTTCATGTGTGTGTTTTTGAGTAACATCTTCTTTGTCTTGGTAATTCAGTTTATGAAATTATATAGACTTTCTGGGATGTACTGAGGTTTTTACATGAACAAATTATAGTAAAGAAAAGATTAGAGAGACAGCAATTTGAAAATAGAGATATAAAACCAAAAATGACTTTTTTTCCAGTGGTATTTACATGAACAAAGAAGTTAAGAAAAGAGCAATGAGACACCAATTTGACAACAAAGATAAACCAGAAATAGATATCTGTGTTTAAAATTTAAAAAAATCAAGTGGTATTATTAAGGCAGGATATATATTGATAATCATACAAACCCATGTAGCATCTTTTTAATTTTCAATTTTCAATTTTCAATTTATTTATTTTATTTCCTATTTGAAGGTCTTCAACTGGAAGGTAAGAAAATGAATCTGAAATGAAAATGTTGATTTGATTTTTTATTCACATGTTAACATTTTTTTATAATTTACTAATATTGTTTTTTTTTGTAGAAAGTTATTTTATTACTTTCTTTTAATTTTTGGTGTCATTAATATTTTCACTTTATTTTAACAGAATTTATTCTTGTGTTAAATTTGACATGTTTAATATCCTATTTACTAAATGTGTACACATTAAGTTCAAAGTCATTTGATAAAAAAGGTAATTTTAACACAAGCACACATTTAGGTTTGTTTGTCACCCTTATTTGTTATTTTATGAGGATGTAGTTAAAAAACATGAGTGTTCTAGATGCATTTAGTCAATAATAGCTGTTTTAATAGTTTTTATTTGTTAATTTTATTTATTTAGTTTTTGTACTTGTATATTAATTGTATTGGATCGATGATTATAGCTTTATTTGAATCCATTTTAGAATACCCTGAAGGGTAGATTACATAATGTACCGGTATTTTGTTAATTACAAAATTTGTGGTCTACAGTATACAGTTATATAACAATATGAAAATATGGAGATGTGGTATGAATGCCAATGAGATAACTATCCACTAGAATTCAAATGAAGTGGATGTACTTAGCATTTATAGGAAACCATACAGCCTTCAACGATGAGAAAAACCCATACTGTACAGTCTTCTTTACAATAGTCTTTCTGTTTTTAATAAATGGAGCAACAGGATGCATAAGTTTAGGCAAAAAAATATTTTTATAGTTTGTATCTTTTGAATTACATAATTCAGGAATATTTTCAAATAACTATTATTTTCACATTCTAGGTGTTAAGAGTTTAATTTTCAGACATGCACAGTGAAGTAGGTTTCATCTGTTGCTTTAGGTTCAAATTAAATGTATGACATAGTTTATGTATTGTGTTTTAGAAAAAATAATCAGAGAATTACGTAAACAAACATCCACTAAAAGTGAAATTAATGTAACGAGAGCCAAAAATAGTAGAAAAAATAGCGAAGAGGGCAGTTTTTGTCATAAATATTAATCACAGCACACCTAATTGCTGGTACTCTGTGTTGACAGAAAAATAGTTAAATCTGGAATTTTGACTGTTCTGAGAGAAATGCAAATTGATATATTTTAGTTTGCTTTTCAACCAAAATTTGTTTCCAACTTAGGTTGTTTGAAAATTGTGACAATGTGATCTGATTCAACACTGATTCAGAATTACATAGAAAGAAGAAAGTAATTTAAAACAAAGATAGTAGGTTTAATTTTTCCATCATGTCTTTCAGAACAGCTTTGGGAGTATGGCGGACAATCCTGGAAGAGACAGAAAGACTCGCCAAGGCTCGGCTTCAGGCAGCAGAAATATACATGGAGAAAATAGCTGAGCCTTTGAAACCTATTAAATCTGCAAAAATACAGTGTTATAAAAAGGTAAAGAACAAAACTTAAGCTGTCCCACCAAGGCATACCTACACACTAGATAAACTCATCAAATTAAAGATACCACGTTTTATCTACAAAAGACTCATCAGTGAGGCTTGAATCAAAAAGTTAAAAAAGGCCAAAATCAGTCTGAAATTGAAGAGTATTGATGACCAAAACTTCTGAAAGGTTTTGCCAAATACAGCTAAGGTAATCTATTCCTGAGGTAGAAATCCTTCAAGTTAATATATCAGACAATTGAAAGTTTTGTCAACAGTTAATTGGAAAATATGACCAGATCAGTGATAATTCATGTCAACACAAACTAACTTACGATTGTCTACAGGGCTGACTAACCAAGGCTAGCTTGCCTACAGGCTGCCTCACCTAGACTTGCCTACAGTCAAAGGCAGTCCTACCAGCTCACTTTCAAAGGCTGGTCTGTTGAGAACTTGGGATTGTGTCAACAAGGCAGCAACCCAGCAATACAAAAAAAGACTATCAGCCAAGAAATGATACATTAAAATTATAAGAAGAAAAGAAAAAATAATTTGAAGATAGGGTTAATAAATTTTATGTGGATCTGTATGGATAATAATAAAAACTAGGATACCATGATTTTCATCTTAAGATTCCAGCTCCCTCAAACAAACATTATGATTCAAACTCCCTTTGGCAAGTTAATAGATATAAGAAGATGTGGTATGAGTGCCAATGAGACAACTCTCCATCCAAGTCAAAATTTATAAAAGTAAACCATTATAGGTCAAAGTACGGTCTTCAACACGGAGCCTTGGCTCACACTGAACAGCAAGCTATAAAGGGCCCCAAAAATTACTAGTATAAAACCATTCAAACGGGAAAACCAACGGTCTAATCTTTATAATAAAAAACGAGAAACAAGAAACACTTATGAACCACATCAACAAACGACAACTACTAAACATCAGATTCCTGACTTAGGACAGGTGCAAACAATTGCAGCGAGTTTAAACGTTTTAATGGTACCTTCACCCTTACTTAAGATACATTTGGCTATTCTTTTAAGGTCTCTTTTGATCATAGAGCGCCTCACAAATTTGGATATTTATTCCTCCTTGTCTTTAAAATGGTTGGGATTGTGCATCCTTGATAAAAGTTAATCCAGAAAAGATCTTCCTACACAAAGATTTACTAAGTGGTATTTTTATTTTATATGATTTATTAGAGGTGGTGATAAAACATTTAAAAAATAACTACAGCTTAAAAGTGAAAAAAGTAAGGAAATAAGGAAGAGCTTATGTTAGATAAGCTTCTTATGGTATTAAACTTAGGTAAAACATTAGTTTCTTTTTATATATTTAATTAAGGAAAGGGAAGTATTAAACTGGAGTAAAATTTTTATCTGTTAAAAAGTAAATAACAAAAGAAGGAAAAATAGAGAAAAATAAATAGTTGAAATGTATTTTTGTTGATTTTATGCTTATTTATAGCTATTTATCTATTTATTGATTTTAAATGGAAAGTTTATTTTTGAAGCATATTGTATTCTGTTTTGAGAATTTTTTGTTTTTGAAAAATGACTGATAAATAATTTTAAAATATTCACCAACATAAAGCAATTATGAAATTATGTCTCCCCAACAAATGTGTTGTAGCTCAATGTTTATCAATATACATCAATTATTTTTTAATATTTGATTTTCATGGTTTTGCTGAAATCTGCATACAATCCTTTGGAATATTAGGTGTTACCCAGTACTTGATCGTCCATCCTTCCGTTCGTCCCATTTTTGTTTGAAAAGTAAGCTTGAGAGGGGGCATTCTTATCCTCAGACACATTCTTCTTATATTTCTGAAGTTTTATAGACATTTCGCCTTTTTGTTTCGAAACTCTCTAGCTAAATGTCTTTAAAACTCCTCAAGCATGCATACTTCAAAAGTTAAGAAAAAATATTTGATAGGAATGTATGAAGACATTAGCAAAACCATGACATCAAATATCAACGAAAAAACATCATTTCCACAATCCACAAATATTGGTACATGTATCCACAAAAATAAATGAATCTATGGTACTTTGTATTTCAAATACTATTATACCTATAACATTATATATTTGTTTAATTTGATTAAGGTGGTACTTAACACTACAGGGAGATAACTCTGTAAAAATCAGCTGAACGTTCTAATCACATTCTATTGTTAAGGAAATATTAAGCTTCTCAATGATCAAAATTAGTGTTTGTCAAACTCCTATATATCCAATGAAATTTTTCCAATAAAGTGTGTGGTTCAAGTTTTTTGAAATTTTTCTATTTTTGTCAAAGGGTCAAAGAAAATATTTTGTCAAAATTAAATTTTATAAAAATTAAACGAGCCAAATTAATTTTAGTCAAGGTGTTTGGTACCACCTTAAATTGTAATTATTATACCGGTAATCTTTCTCATGCCTGTATGTTTGTAGATGGTACCACAATTGACCACTTATCAACAAGAAGTAAGTCAGACTGTAAATGAGATGGTCAAATCACAGAAAACCTATAATATAGACCAAACCCTGACTCACGATGCAAGACAGAAAGCTGCTGAGGCTAACGACAGGTAAGACAGACATTGTCTAATAAAATTGAGAATGGAAATGGGGAATGTGTCAAAGAGACAACAATCCGACCAAAGAGCAGAAAACAGCCTAAGGCCACCAATGGGTCTTCAACACAGTGAGAAAATCCCGCACCCAGAGGCGGGCTTCAGCTGGCCCCTAAACAAAAATGTGTACTAGTTCAGTAAAACCAAACTCATAGTGCTGCTTATGAGTGTTAAGCTTACATTGATCAAACACTGGCTCATGGTGCAAGACAAAAATGTGCTTAGGCTAACGACTGGATAGTCAAACATTTACCAAACCCAAACTCATGATGCAAGACAAATAGCTGCTGAGGCTAACGACTTGTTAGTCAAACATTTACTGAAACCCAAACTCATGATGCAAGACACATAGCTGCTGAAGCTAACATCATAGAACATTCTGAGAGTACAAAATCACACAATTTTGGAAATAACTAAGTTATTTGCAGCCATTTTAAGTTATTATTATTTTTCAAAGTTATTATTTTTTATTTATATTTATCACTTAGAGGATTAGATTTTTTGTTGAAATTCTCACCAGTACTGGGTTTACATGGTTAAAGTAAGGTCAAAGTTATGATGTGCAGAAAAGAAAGACTTTTTATATTGCCATGCATGGCATTGTCAGTTTGTTTTTCAACTATGAGTTTAATTTGAATATCCTTTTTTTTTTTTTCGTATGACTTTTGAGAGTTTAATACATGCTTTTGTATGCTTCCAAGATTTTAGATTAGAGAGTATAAAATGATTTCTTTAATTGATATTACTTAAATTATAAAAACAAGAATAGAAAAAAAGTGTTTTTACAGTATTATAATTTTATTTTCAGACTATCAAGAAAATCTACAGGAATTTTCACTTCCCTTGCAAGTTTACAGAAAAATTGTGCCAAGGTAAAATAAACTATATAATGCCCTCAATATGTATGAAATATTTGCAACTGGACATTAAGCAACTAACAATCAACCTCATATATTATGTTTCAGAAAAAAATTATCAGTTTATATTCCTGAATGAACATTTAGCAATTATCAATTGATTAATGGGGGTCTCATTGGGGGGTTCTCATCCCGGATTCTGCTTACTGTTTTGTCAGATTCCTGTATCCCGCTTACACTATGTATGTAAGCAATTCTCATTTTTGTCGAGCCTTCGACGTTTGATGAAAATGCGAGACATAGCAATTCTACATTCTGTCGGCGTCGTTGTCGTCGGTGGCGTCCACAAATATAACTTTCTTAAACTATCCTGGATTTCTACCAAACATGGACAGAAGCAATGTTTATGATCATAAGATAGTATACAGAAGTAAATTTTGTAAAAATAAAATTCCATTTTTTCCGTATTTTACTTATAAATGGACTTAAGTTTTTCTGCCGGGAAATATTACATTCACTCTGTGGTTAAAAGTTTTTAGAATTTTAATAACTTTCTTAAACTATCCTTGATTTCTACGAAACTTGGACAGAAGCTTGTTTATGATCATAAGATAGTATCCAGAAGTAAATTTTGTAAAAAAATAAATCCATTTTTTCCTTATTTTACTTTTAAATGGACTTAGATTTTCTGCCAGGAAACAACACATTCACTCTGTGGTTAAAGTTTTTAAAATTTTAATAACTTTCTTATACTATTTTGGACAGAAGCTTTTTTATGATCAAAAGCTAGTATATAGAGGGAAATTTTGTTTTCTTCCAGTTAACATAACATTCAGTCTGCAGTTAAAGTTTTTAAACATTTATTAGATTCATAAACAATCCTGGATTTTTACTAAACTTGGACAGAAGCTTCTTACAATCAAAAGATAGTATCAGGTGGAATATTTTTATTGATTTACTTCCTCATTTTTGTTGAGCCTGCGATTAACAGAAAAAGTAGGCAAAACACTGGGTTCCGCAAAACCCTTACAAATTTTTTTGTAATTTCCTGTGTCCCGCTAGACTTCAATTTCCCGTTTTCACAGCACAATAATTTGACTATCACGTGTCACACTTACAAAAAATCTGCAATCCCGGGTCACGCTTAGACCCCAATGAGACCCACATCAATCACTCTTGTGTCTTTCATAATTTCAAATTGCTAAATGTTCATTCAGGAATATGAACTGATAATTCTTTTCTGAAACATAAGATCATGAGGAACTCTAAATGTTTATTTGTGACTCTCTTGTTGGGGTGCAGTCTCAGTGTTAATGTTATATTTGTATACTCATCCATTATTGATAAATAAATATAAGTTTAAAGGTAGTTTTACAAATTTTAAGTCAAGAAAATACTCAAGCACTAAATCTGAAAATCATTATATTACAAATGGTAAAGTTAATAAATTTGTTGTTAAAAAAAAAAATCAGAATAAAAAACAAAATATGTCCAATCAGTGGAACAATACCAGTGGAGAAGTTTTATGATTGAATTTATTATCTTTTTTAGTTAAATACCCGACGAGATGGATGTGAAGTCAAATCTACCAACTCTCGAAATGAATATTTATTATGTTTAGCTGCAAGCAGTGCTCATCAACATCGGTATTACTCAACAGATTTACCCGATCTCATAGACGTGAGTAAATATTTATGAAATTTTGTGTAGTTTGTTTAAATAAGCAGGGATCATTTGGAGGGGGTCTCATTTGGGGGTTCTGATCCCGGATCCCGCTTACTGTTTTGTCAGATTCCCATATCCTTCTTACACTATGTACGTAAGCAATTCTCATTTTTTTGTAATTTCCCGTGTCCCACTAGACTTCATTTCCGGTTTTCACGGCACAATAATTTGATTTTCACATGTCACATTTACAAAAAATCCGCAATCCCGGGTCATGCTTAGACCCCAATGAGACCCACTTTGGAATATTGAATTTTTCTGAAAAAAATGAAAATATCTTCAAGAGAATGTCCAAAGAACATTGCAAGATTTTGAGAAACACTATTTAATTTAGGTACTGTAATTTGTTAATTCAGAAATTATTGTGATGTTTTTAGTAATGCGTAAAATGTGACAGCATCAGGTTCACAATAATAAAACAGTGGCAGATCCAGAAATTTTCATAAGTGGGAGCCCACTGACTGCCTAAGAGGGGGCCTGCTCCGGTCATGCTTCAGTGATTCTCTATATAATCAACCAAATTTTTCCCAGAAAAGGGGGGCCCCGGCATCCCTTTAAGGTGGTACCTAACACTACAGGGAGATAACTCTGTAAAAATCAGCTAAACGTTTTAATTACGTTGTATTGTTAAGGAAATATTAAGCTTCTCAATGATCAAAATTAGTGTTTGTCAAACTGCTATATAACCAATGAAATTTTTCTGATAAAGTGGTTGGTTCAAATTTTTTGAAATTTTTATATTTTTGTCAAAGGGTCAAAGTAAACATTTTGTCAAAATTTTATGAAAATTAAACGAGCCAAATTAATATTAGTCAAGGTGTTGGGTACCACCTTAAATCTGCCTCTGTTAAAAAACTCAAATTCTTGATTTCAGTAGTGATTTTCCTTCATAAAATTTTTGCAATGGCATTTTTCACATTTCTGCCATATCAAGGTTTTGCAATAATAAATGCATGCATTAGTTTCTTAATTTACAGTAAACTTGATAGATTTGAATACTATTTTCTATTGATAGGATTCTTATCCAGACTAGCACATACAAATACAATTTACAGTGATAAAATGGGAAGATTGATATTCTGCACACAGAATAGGCTTATAGGGCCTTTTATAGCTGACTCTGCGGTATGGGCTTTGCTCATAGTTGAAGGCAGTACGGTGACCTATAGCTGTTAATTTCTGTGTCATTTGGTCTCTTGTGGAGAGTTGTCTCATTGACAATCATACCACATCTTTTTTATATTATAAGAACTGCTGTATAAAGATTTGAAAAAAGATTGTTACCATTTGTCTATTCTTTTCTTTTTCAGACATTAGATGGTGATATGTATGACAAGATTAAAGATTATTTTCTGACCTATGGGAAAGCTGCATTAGATGTCAGTACTCAGGAAAAATCAGCCTGTGAAAATATATTCACTGAAGCTGATTTAGTAAGTAATACATAATCGATCAGGATAATTCTTTTTGTGAGAATACAATAGATATCAATGCATATGGATTCTGTAAATTCCGTAATTTTCTTGTGCATATATCATTATGGTTGTCAAGGAAACGCTGCATACAAATGATGCTATTGAAATTTAAAGTGCATCTTTTTATTTTTGCGAAACTTTTTTGTAATAATGAAAACATTGCAATAATTTCTGAATTTACAGTTATGGGAAATTCTCTTTTCTGCACACCCTGAGATTTCAATTTTCTAGTAGGTAAGCCATGCTGATATGAACTTTTCACCATGAGACAGTAACCTAACAACACAGATGCACAAGAAAAATATCAGGGCATCTATTATAGTCTCTTGTCAATTTGTTTTTACTCTGACTTAAAAAGATTTGTCTTCACTAAATTCCGCTAAAGTGATTAAGATATAAAAAGGCAATAAAAAGTTTTGTCTCGCCAGGGAAGAAAATTATAGAAACAAAAATTTGGATTAGGTCTCACAGGCAATAGATATGGCAAAAAATATCTCTTAAGACTTCAGTTTTTATGAGATCTCAACTCACTCTTTTTATATTGATTATGGCAAAAGATATCTCTTAAGACTTCAGTTTTTATGAGATCTCAACTCACTCTTTTTATATTGATTATGGCAAAAGATATCTCTTAAGACTTCAGTTTTTATGAGATCTCAACTCACTCTTTATATTGATAAGTAAAATAAAGAACGGAACATAACAACACACAAAAAAATATCAGTACAGGAGAGTCCACCTAAGTGTTTCTTGGTATGTGTCATCTTATTTTTACATTAAACTGCAAGTTAACATTTCTCTTGTCTATTTCAGATTGACAGAAATTTTAATCACCAGTGCTTTCTTTATTGTAATAAAATATTAACAGACAAAGTGCAATACCAGTTTGAACCATGTCATAATGATAAGGTAAATTATGTTTATAGATATTATTATAGTCATATGTAACCTATGTACTTCATGGTTTTATGAGAATTATCTATCTATCTATCTATCTATCTATCTATCTATCTATCTAAATTTTTCAAATAACCCAAAAAAGAAGACCTCAAAAACAAAAGGTGGCCAGCAAGTTTATTCAGAATAGAAGCACCTACTCTATATTCAGAATAGTTACACCCACTCTATATTCAGAATAGTAGCACCCACTCTATATTCAGAATAGTAACGCCTATCCTATATTCAGAATAGTAACACCCACTCTATATTCAGAATAGTAGCACCTACTCTTTATTCAGAATAGTTACACCCACTCTATATTCAGAATAGTAACACCTACTCTATATTCAGAATAGTAACACCCACTCTATATTCAGAATAGTAACACCTACTCTGTATTTAGAATAGTAGCACCTACTCTATATTCAGAATAGTAGAACCTACTCAATATTCAGAATACTAACACCTACCCTATATTCAGAATAGTAACACCTACTCTATTTTCAGTGACTGCCTCTGTGGTCTTGTGGTAGCTGGCTCCTTTTGTGTGAGTGTGGGAGATCATAGGTACAAACCCATACCAGGTCTAATGAAAGACTTGAAAATTGGTATTTGTTGCTTCTCTGCATAGCATGCGTAATTCAGGAGTAAGAGCAAAAACTGGTAGGCTCGGAGTGAGAATAATGTGTCTGGGCAGGGTGACATGTCTTCCTATAGACTGTTACCTTGTGAACTAACACATTAAAAATCTGGCTTAGTGTGTCGTTCTAGTACAAAGCAGGATTTATATTCATATCATGTCATCATGTTCTCGCCTGAATATCCATTTAATTCGCCACTGGACATAAAATAGCCATCCGTCCATTCATCTATATTCAGTGGTATTTTTCAAATTATGGTATATTTTGTTTATATTTTTGTCGTCGTGTATTTTAGTGCAATAAAATATCCAAGGAACATGGTGCAGACCTTCAGGTTGATAAAGAGGCCAGGAAATGGGCCACAAAAATAGCAAAGGAGACCAAAGCCATCAGGGACTATGAAAAAACACTCAAAGCCCTAGAGGCCACAGCAGCAGGGGATTTGGTAAGTTAAGTGTCAGACATGACAAGAGATTTAAACCTCAGATGTTTATTAGGTATATGTTTTTTGATATAATAAACTAAACGTCTGTTTTCTTGTTGATAATGTATTTGATAAAGATTTCTTTTCTTGAGAAATTATTAGTCCCCTACCGACGAAGTCTAAGGGGACTTTAGGTTTGCACTCTGTCTGTCTGTCTGTGTGTCTGTCCGTGCTTGAAGATAATGATTTGATAATTGGTATATAGTTTTATCATGACAAGTTACAGATCAAGTTCTAATTTTGTTCCGGTCTGTTGATTTTGTGCAGAGTTATGGTCCTTGGACTAAGAAGATTCACTTTAGTAATCAGTTTTCCACACTTTTTTTCGTCATGCTTGAAGATATTGACTTGATATTTGTTATATAGTTTACACCATGACAAGTTATAGATCAAGTTAGCATTTTGATCCAGTACAATGAATTTTTAACCGGTAGGGGACTATGTATTGCTTGTTTGATTTGTCCTACACCCAAATGAAAATAGTGATACACTATTGGTCAAATACACATAGTTCAGGATATTGTTAACCTAACAGCTCAGTTTGGTGTTTCGTTTTCAAACTATTACCCAGAATGCATTAGATCATGAAATTGTGAATTCCTTGGAGTCATCCTAAATCCTAAAAGCAGATGATTCTGATATATAAAGAAAATGTTTCGATTGTCAATTTTCTAAAACTGTTTTTTATTATTACCAGGGATCTGACTCTGGAACAGGGATGGAAACAAATCAACAAGAGATAGAACAGAAAATAGAAGAAATGAAACAGCACATCAGGAAAGCTGAAGTTAGTTCTTTTGAATTTTTAAAGTGAAATTGTTTTTAATGCCCAGTAAGTCAGTCAAAAACATACATAAAAACACTGTCTAGATCTGAACAATTTCTTTTAATTCCTTGCTGGGAATTCAAACATGGCCCACATAAATAATATGAGGAAAACTGTGACTACATAGATATTGCTTTCTTATCGGTTGTCCAACTGTCTGTATCACTCTGCATATCACAGCTTTGTGATGTCAAATACTTTGAACCAGCCTTAATAACTTTGACCAGGACATATCAGTGACATCATAATGTAAGAACCGACGTTGATAAGTTTGACCCAAACTTATAAAGTCATCTTCCGGTTTGATGGTGAAACAAAGAAAACTCTTGTTTTATCATGCAAAATACGCAAATACGCAAATACAACCCGATAAATCGATTATCTGGTTGTCTGCATGTCGATATTGTAAAATATCAGCTGCTCGACACAATATGAAGCCTTTTTGAATTCGTTCATTGTGCTCACTCGACATGAAGCTTCATATTGTGACTCGCAGCTAATATTTTACAATGTCAATATGCAGACAACCTGATGATTGGCACGAACAAATCATTACATTTTCAGTACAGAGTAATAAGTTTAATACCCTCTGATATAATACAGTTATAGAATTGCAAGCCTTCAAGCTAAAAACAAAATATGACAAATATTAATATCTATTTTGGTAAAGACATACATGTATTTAAGGAATGACTAAAATTTGTTTCTGCCTATGAAGTTAGTCTCATTGGGGTCTAAGCGTGACACGTGGAAGTAAAATAATTTAGCGTGAAAACGGGAAACAAAGTCGGGCGGAACACGGGACATTACATGCGCTATTATGGCAACGAGAAGCGGGATATGGGATTTTGACAAAACAATAAGCGGGAACCGGGATCAGACCCCCCCCCCCCCCCACCCACCCCCCCCAATGAGACCCCCTATAAGAAATAACATATAAAAGTGGTGCACACTGAATAACCCATGTAGCAGATTATTTAAAAGTGTGCACCACATTTTTGAGGTTTTTTTGAATAGACAGAATATATATTACAGTCATTCTTGATAATTAAATTCTAAATAACATTTTAAAGGAGTAAATCATGAAAAATCAATGATGACGTCACGGTCACATGACAAAATTACGTCTATGAGCTATAAGCAAAAAACTTTCAGCCAATCAGAAGACATGTTACATCCAAAATTAAATTATATGCTTATACAAATAATATTTGGTAAACATAAGGCAAAAAACTTAAGATATTGTAAGTCATGTGACTATAGGTATATTGCATGCCTTAACCCTAGGATGACCAATGAAAGCAAAAATCTTATTTCCAATAGACCTTATCACTATACGGGAATCTGCCACACTTGAACTATCAACATCATACGACAATTACTTTTCCTTGTGGGATCAGCCATTTTCTCTTTTGACGTCAAAACTGAACGGGAATGTCTGTGATGTCCAGTAATAGCGGACATATAGCAATAAGGTGTATGCAGTCTTATGTTATGTACAATTAAATACAATTATTAATTTTGATTTCAATAATATAGCAATAGATAGTATCTTTGAATCACAAATATTTTGATTTTCGAATTTAAAGTTTTCATATTTATTTTGTCTCAATTTCGACATGTTTATGATGTCATCGTGACCCAACAAGTGACCTTTCTGCACTAATATTTACAGATTATATGTTCATTAAAAGTCAATAAATGTACTATTATTTTGGAAGGCTTGATTATATAAGCTATTTTGTAATTTCAGGGGCCAAATAATGACTTTTGTTATATCCCCTCTTTTCAATCAAACATATCAAAAGTGTGTGAAATAAATTTCAAATTCTATAAATAGAGGGGGAATTAAAAATAACATTGACAACCTGACACGATTAATGACTTGAGTCTTTAGGCTGATAAACATTAAACAAGTTATTAAAAGTTTAATTTAAAATTAGATGATGTGGTATGATGCCAATGAAACAGACCTAATGACATAGAAGTTAACAACTATAGGTCACCATAAGACCTTCAACAATGAACAAAACACTTACCGCAAAGTATGATATAAAAGGCCCAGAAATGACAGATGTAAACAATTCAAACAAGAAAACTAACAACTTGATTTGTGTACAAAGCAATAAACTAAAAACAAATATGATATACAGCAACAAACTAAAACTACTGAATTACAGGCTCCTGACTTGGGACAGCCACATACAGAACGACATGGCCAAACACTCCCATTACCTGGGGCAGTGGTGTAACAGTACAACATGAGAACAAACTATACATTTTTTTTACACTCAGTTCTGTACTTGATGACTTTCCTCTTGTCTATATGTAACATTCTTCCTTTCCTCTATTGTAGACTGCCAAAGATAAGGCCGAGGCCAGAATAGATATGCTCCGAGATTCTGGAGGTTAGTTTGAGATTTGAATAAATCTTATATTTAATTCTTTGTTGAAAAATTTATATTGGTAAAAAAAATGTATCAAAATATTAGATCAAGCACCACAGCATACAATTGATTAGGAAAGTTCAATTCAATATGAAGAAAAGGAGATGTGGAATAATCAACATTGTGACTTCAACCCAGCATAAAAAATAACCAAAAGACCTCTTGAGGGCAACATACATTGTTCAATACTCGACAGGTGTCTATGCAATATGTCAAGCTGTTAACCATCCTTAATCTATAAAAGATCTGAATATATTTAATAGAGTTCATTTTACACAAAATTATGTGTCAGACGTTTTTTTTAAAGAAAAAGACCAATGTATATGAACTGTTCAAAGGGACATGTTTTGACCTATTGAGTCAGAAATTTTAAAAAATCCTGCTTTCTAACAAGCTGTATAAATTGTATGTTTTAATTGTTTACATTACAGTAAATGTAGATGAATGGTTAGCAAGTGCTCAGGCTGAAAGTTTGCGGGTAGAAGAAGATGCAATGTCCAGAAGCTCTAGTCAAGTGTCTGTTAGGAGTGATAGTACGGGAAAGGTAAATTCTAGTGACATTTAGGGGGGGTGGGGTGTAGAAATGTTAAGAAGTCTTATTCATTAAATGAGGGTGACACTTCTTCTTTCAAGGTCAGACATATTAAAGCAGTATGATAGACAATAGCTATAAAATGTCAAGAGACTGTGAGGAATGATTAATGCATGGTGTCTTTATTTAGTTTTACTTTAGAACTTGTTTGTCAGAAGGTTAAAGTAAATAAAACATCAGAAAATAAGTCAATGGAATGAGCTTCGGGGAATGAATTAAAGTATAAAATGATCAAGTTGAATTCATTTATGGAAACAAAAGTATAAATAAAAATAAATAAAATATTGAATTCATTTATTAAAACTAGAAATAAGAAGATTGTTTAAGTAAAATATAAAAAAAAATTAAAATTAAATCAAAGATAACCAAACAAACGTACAGAAGCAAAAATACATTACACAATGGTTTTTTTCCAAACAAATTGATATCTGAGTATTTTTCTCTTCAGATGAGCAATGAAATAGAACAAACCTATACTAAATATGATGATGATGAGGATGATTTTATTGATGATACATTTGAAGCTACAAAATATGACGATAGTTACCTCTCACATGGAAGTTCTGAGCATCCATATCCAGTGCCAAAGAGATGTCGAGCTATTTATGATTTTCAGGTATTCTTATTTTAGAGTTTTAATCACAGTACGTTAAAATCATAAGGAGACTGATAGTAAGTTTTGTGATTATGAAGTCTTTGTTAGCTTGGTCAGTTAACGAAATAGTCGCCTCAAAAACATAAAAAGAACCCTAAAGGCAAAGATGTGATTTTCAATAGGCAAGCTGTTAATTGGTGAAAATTGAAGTTTTGATTTAAAGTGTACTTTGTCAGTCAAGAAGAGTCACTTCAAATAAGTGAAGTTGGCATTGGAAAAAAAAACTCAATTCATTTACATCAATATTTATATATTGTCAATGGTTTTTCAAACGAGCAGGTGTTTCTCAGCTACAATCTCATCGAAGGGTGAAAGCCCTGAGATGAGATGTAGCCAAGAAACAACCTCGAGTTTGAAAGACTTGATAATCTGTTTATCACTGTTTTCTTAGCTATAGGTAACGTCAATTACCTTGGCTTATGACGTCATACATGTATATACTCTTTCTATTCGACTGAGAAAAACAGATATCACTGGAATAGCGTGATATTGAAAATTATCTCGAACAAAGATCAAAGGGAAATTTGAGAAAATTGAAATAAATATGCCTACTTGCTGTTTTTCAGGCCAGCAATGGAGACGAACTTGACATGGTAGAAAATGAACAGTTAGAAATAATTAGTAGTGGTGAAGGTGATGGGTGGGTCAAAGGTCGAAATCATGAAGGTCGTGAAGGTTACATTCCAGAGAATTATGTTGAATTGATAGGAGACAATGAAAGTATTGAATTTCATCCTGTGACTCAGTCAGACTTTCAGGGGCCATCACCTCCACAGACAGAGGTAGTGTCGCCGACCTCTTCAATTGATCCCATGAGACAGGAAGTGACATCATATTCATCTAGTGACATGGAGGTACAGATGACTACCAACACAATGCCAGTGGACAATCCAGATCTGTCAGGTATGCTCTTTACTCCTCCTTTAAGGGGATACTATACAGATACAGGGGGAGGTAATAAGCCCTATTGTAATGGGTGATTATCCATCCATTTTAAGTTGGTATATTGTAATGGTCCTGATATAGGTCTACTGTGGATTCTTTAATATTTGTTTGATAATGAAATTAAATTCTGGATGAAATAAATAAATAAAAAAATGTTAGAAATAAATGATAAAACTACAAAATTAGGTATCCTTGAATAGCAAATTTTCCTCTTACCACAAAAAAATTGTTCCACAATAAACTGAAACATTAAATGGTACCTTCATTAATAATGTTTGGCACAGTGGAAAATGTCAAATATACCAAAATTAGATAGTTGTAAAGAAAACTTATGTTTTGACCAAAGGGAAATAATTCAATATAAAATTGCATAAAACTCAGTACTTTCACAATCGTAATTAAAATATGAATTCATGTCCTATTAATATTTGTTCTCCCCTTATCATAGAACATTAATTCCAATGTGTTGGTATCTCAGAACCAGTGAATTAAGGATTTTTATGTGATTTAAGTTTTTAATCATAACTCAAAATAGTTGGAGCTATTTCCCCTTTGCGCATTTGATAGATCTAGCTGAAATTGAGATTTAGAAGTATTTTAAGGTTGGTAGTCAGTATAGGACTTGTATTAGTTTTAAGTTTACAGGTAATATTGAAATAGAGACAAATAAAAAAAAAATCCTGTAACTTCAATAAGATTAAACCACATTCATGTGAATAAAAAGAGACTTGGGCATATGTCAATGAGATAGATGGCAAACTGACAAAATAGGAAAAAATAAAAACATCTAGAGGTTTATCAGTAATTTTTATTGACATTCAATATAGACATTTTGTCATCATAGGACAATTAAAGGGATGAAGGTTTTGTGAGAAGCAGAAAGAATTGATGCGCTTACCTCCCCTTTAAATAAATCAAGACTAAAGTTATATATATCATTATTAATGATGGTGAGTTTTACATGATTTTCTGTTTTCCTACTGATTGAGACTGATTTCAGTTGAAATGGTAGGGATAAGTCTTAGTACTACTAAGACAATTACCTGATTATATCTTGAACCCGATGGGAAAAGGATATAAAGATGTGTCTGTTCTGTAACTTGAAAACCAACCATAATAAAGAAGCTAAGAAACAAAAAGACAATAATACTTTTTATTAATGAACTTTTTAACCCAAGTTATTGTAAGGCAATCGATTTAGAAGTTCGATAGTTACCAATTGACAATCAAGATAGAAAGTCAGATGAAGGACAAAAACACCATGGGCAAAAGTTTTTCCTTTGGATACATTGGAATTGTAACAAAAGGGTGGAAAAAATTGATATATTTGAGTCTCAATTAATCATCATCTTTATTGTACAGATGGTATTTGGGCCAGAGCCTTGTATGACTATTCAGGTTTATCTGATGAGGAATTATCATTCAACGAAGGGATGTTGATAAAAGTTCTACGTAAAGATGATAATGGTGTTGATGATGGGTACTGGGAAGGAGAATTGAACGGGAAAGTTGGTGTTTTCCCGTCACTGGTAGTCGAGGTACTTCACTCTGGTTTAAAGGTAACGTACTTTACAAGGCAAAATTTGAAATATCTCTTTGATAAGAACAACTAAGAAATACTTTTCCACCTATTTATTTTATAAGTGGTTCTGATTGACTTTTTGGTGTTTTTCCACCTATGTGAACTTAAAAAAAATGTGTTTATTATGAGATGAGAATAGTGTTGATGGTTCACTTTTTCTAGGTTTGTAAGTTTTCTATTGCTGTCAACATTTTTCTAAAACAGTTGAAGTTATCTGTATGGCCTTTATATATCTTTTTCCATAAATACCTGATATTTATCCTGGTACGTTTTATAGAGATAAAAAAATATTCTGTTTCTTGTAGGATTTAAGGAAAACAGTGCAAAAATCAATAATTTTTAACTTTTAAAAATAACTCGGAAATATTTCAGTGCTCATATTTGTAGCATGCATGTTATATTACTTAACAGCTCTTGGTCATTGACTGCTATCTATAATTATTGTCTTGAATACACTCCTTTGCTTGCATGTTTACAGATTTTGTAATTAACTAAAGCAGCTTTGAAAGAGCATGCTAAAAATATTCTACCAAGTTCTTGAACATATAATTGATTCACTGTGGGAATGTTGCAGAAAATTTAAAATCATCTTTTTTTAATTACTTGGAAAAAGCTGGACAGTCATCTTGTAGAAGCAGATATGGCATTGGCAGATCATTTAAATGGTTGGTGAGAAAGATTGCTTTACAGCCATCAAACCAATGATTAATGTTGGCAAATTCTGAATTACAGCACATCTATCTACAATGCATACGCTAGAAGTGAGATTATCACAATTGAATGCATTTGCGACCATAAAATACATACATCATTTAAAAAATTAATTATTTATATCTGTGTGTAAGGTATATTGTTTATTACATTATCATTAAAACAGGTTCATCCACAGTTATCTCCCCCTCCTGTAACCATAACACCAGCGACACCAGCTGAGGAGGTTCCTCCATCACCATTATCACCATCATATAAACAAGGTGAGAACAATGTTTATCATATTCAAAGTTCAGAGTTCAAGTTCAGTTCAAAATTTTGTATAAAGCTGAATTGGCTTAAACATACAAAAAACATTGTAATTAGCTTTTACATACATTTTTTGTTTTTGTTTTTATAATACATAATTATACAAAATATATTTTAGAGGTCCCGTGTCCTTAAGTCCAGTTTATTTTAAACAAACAAACACAATCTCTAATGAGTTTCTACATACATTTTATACTTTTATTTTTATAGTATTAAACACATATAAAAAAATTTCTCTAATTCTTCGTCAATTTATCCCTTTCTGCACCCATTGTATAAAAAAAAATTTAATCAACGTGTGGTTCGTTTGATCTCAGTTCTTCATTGGTTAAAATCCGATTATGACGTCGAATTTTCTTGCTTTCCTCTGAATTTCCTATTGTGACGGCATGAAAAAAGGCGACCATGCCTGATGACGTCACATAGAAAGAACACATCTTTTTGCAAATCATTCGAAAAGAAGGAATAAATTTGCCTGCGTATTGTTTGAAAATCATTAGAGAAACAGATTCCACCACCAGATCTCGTGTAATACGATATTTATCCACTCTCGACAGTTAAATTTTAAATATTTAAAACGCTCGGCAAGCCTCGCGTTTTAAATTTGAAAATTTAACTGTCTCAAGTGGATAAATATCGTATCACACTCGATGCAGTGGTAGAATCTATATTTCTTTAATTCTTACACGATTTATCCTTTTCCTGACCTGTTGATTATTTTTATTTAATCAACGTGTGGTTTCGTTTGATCTCAGTTCTTCATTGGTCAAAATTTGATTATGACGTCAAATTTTCTTGCCTTCCTCTGAATTTCCTATTGTGACTTCATGAAAAAAGGCGACCATGCCTGATGATGTCACATAGAAAGAACACATCTTTTCGCAGATCATTCGGAAAGAAGGATTGAGTTTGTCTGCATATCGTTTAAAATCATTAGAGAAATAGATTCCACCACCAAATCTTGTGCAATACGTTATTTATCCACTCTCTACAGTTAAATTTTGAATATTTAAAACGCTCGGCGAGACTCGTGTTTTAAATTTAAAAATTTAACTGTCTCGAGTGGATAAATATTGTATCGCACTTGATACAGTGGTAGAATCTATATATATACTTTAAAGATCTCATGTCCTCAAGTCCAGTAACTTTTACTTTAAAGAGAAGTAATTTATTTATTATATTCATTTTGATATTATAAATGAAACTTTTTCTCCTGATGCCAGGTCATCATTAAATCTCAATATTCAGTTTTTATTCCTTTGGCGGAATATTTCAAGTGAAATTAAAAGAAAATGAGCTTTATTATCAATGTTAATATATCCTTTATGAATACCTTCCAAAATTGTTTAAATCATGCAGCAAAAAAATTATGTCTTCAATTATTTAAACCTTAAACCTTTACTGAATAGACCCAGGGTCAGACTGATGTTAATGATTTGGGATCAAAGGTAAATACATGATAATATCTGTGTTTAAGGATGTAATTAGGTGAAATTAAAAAAATCTAGAATTCAAAATTGATACTATAAGTCAGAAGAGCATTACTTAAGGAACGAAATAAGCTAAAAATATTGATAGGTTATGGAGCTCCTTTTCGAGATATTTAATTTTAAAAAAATGGCAGGAAAAGGCTGACTGACTTTATTCTTATATTTGCATTGGTATTATTTGGGTCTCAAATCGAAAGAAAAGAAATCTAGAATCTGCTTAAATTTTGGTAAATAACCTTTTATTAGCTATTGAAGCCTTATATGAAAAGAAAAATGGGTGTTATGGGGCAAAATATTTTACTCTGTATCATAGGAAAAAAACCAAGGAGTCCGAACATCTGACAAAAATTCCTAAACCTGACCTAAGTACATCCTTAATTTTAATGGTTAAACAGAATTTACTCCAAATCCAGGACATATTTGAAAAGAGTCTTACATCTCGAAGTACCTGCAAATTCCTTCCTATGAATTAAGTGTAATAATTGTTATTTATGTTTTTTTTTAACCTTTTTTCATTGTCTCGCCATCAACCAATTTGATACTTGTTATAGTAAGACCTCAAAGTCTTTAAGCATAAAATTTAATCATAACCAGTAGAGCAGGCCAGACATTTTAGTGTGGGCACTCTTTTGTTATTTTATCCCAAACTTCTGTTCCTATTGTTTTAATTTAGTAAATGTCCTATTTAGTTTCAGCCAGATCACATAGGACTTCTCATCATCACCGTAAACCCCAATCTCATCATCGTAGATCACATTCCGGCACAATTAATGCTGATTCGTATGAATCCGCTGTGTAATAGGTATACAAATTCATACACGAAACTAACACGTTTCTAAACGCTAGCAGCTTATATACATGTTATCACCAACCACTAGTAAATATATTTTAAACTGAAACAGCCATTTTGAGTTGGACACAATATGAAATTTGTCCCTTGATCTCTTAATTTTAGAATTTCTTGATTATTGGTTTTTAAATCAAAACAGATTTTTCAGTTCAAAATATATTTACTAGTGTATGTTATTGTATTTTAAGCACATATTTTAATTACAATTTATTAATTAGTTGGGGATAATCGTGGAATCGGATTAGAATGAGGATGTATATAGTAAAGTTTATTTATTTTTATAGGAAGGATTCAAAATTCCTGTCTCAAAATATGTAAAAAAGAAACATAGTTAATAATTGAACCAAAATGAAAAGAAGGCTACTCTGTTGAACAATGCGAAATTGTAATTTTCAGTTTACTTTCATTGTTACTTTGCATTACAGTGAACCAATGTTACATTGAACAAGGGAAATAACTTGCTACAAATGCTTATTACAGTCTCTTGATTCATGTTTTCGAAAATAAATTTTGTTAAAGAGTGCAATAATTTATATAGAGTATACATATGGAATGTCCTAGCTCTGTTGTTCATGTTAAATGGTTTAAGTTGAATGCGGCATGACGATTTAATGTAAAGCATGGATACATAACCTATAGAAGTATTATATTCATAGAATAACATTAACGGTACCAATTTTTCTGCACCAGATGCACATTTCGACAATAAATGTCTCTTCAGTGATGGATTATATTCATAGATAGGATTGTATGTACAATACAGTAAATGTTTTGTACTAATTGGATTGACTTATTAAAGTCCTACTAGAAATACTATTTTTTTATGTGGAATAGTTAATAATGAACATTTGTATTTATTATAGAGGAAGACAGATAATTTTATAAGCTCAGGGGAATCCTCATTTTTTCTGTCACTTTGTAAAAGATAATAAATATGATCATAATTTAAAACAGGCACTTGGAATTTGATCCATATACATCTGATAGTCTTTCCAGTTCTGCCATGGAATATTTCAGAAAAAAAAAACAACAGCATGTTTCTCATTGTTAAAGGTTGTACAGTGGCCTATAGTTGCTTATATCAACTTCATTTGAACTCTGGTGGATAGTTGTCTTATTGGCAATCATACCACATCTCTTTTATTTTTATATTAGGTCTGGTGTTTTTTTCCCTGCTTTTAAATATGACTGGTAAAATAATTTGGACTAGCAGTTAGTTCATGTTTTAAAAAAAGAATTGTAGAAATGGTGGTGTGGTAACAGTTTAGCTTTAGGTAACAAACCAACTATTTTTGACTTCATATGGATTTATGTCCATTCACATGTATAAAGTTATAGACATTATATTGCATTATTTATTTTTGTACACAGGAAAATATGCTCGCAGATATGTTTTCAACGCTTCAAAGAGGTTCGTCACACACTCTTTGGTCTGCTGTGGAATGAATACACACTCTGACTTAATAGAACTGTGTTAATCTGATTATGATAAATCACAACACATACTTTCAATATATATCTCCTGATTAAAATGTTCCGTTTTTTTTCTTCAAATCCTTGTGAATGTTTTTGAAAGGTTCTTTTGGACACTGAATTAGATTAGGTAAGGTCTTTAAAACCTTAGCATTCATGGTACCAACCCTAGCTCTGAACTTTTTTAACTCTTCTTAAAACCAAATTCAGCCACACTTAGCTGAATTCAGCCAAATTCAGCCGTAATTTGACCTATAATGGTTTACTTTTATAAATTTTGACTTGGATGGAGAGTTGTCTCATTGGCACTCATACCACATCTTCATATATCTACATCTCATTGTCCTTAGAAATAAACCATTCAATCTATATTGAAGAATGCTATAGATAATATACAAAGAATTTGTATTTCTCACAAAATTTCTACATCATGATATCAACATATTACTTACTGGAATGATTGACCAATATAACAGATTTGTTATTATTAGAAAGACCTAGTTGTACAGCAAAAGTATAATTACTTGTTTTTAAACCTGAAAATCTATGACCATTTTGAATTCTTAGTTTCTATGATCGTCAAACATCAAATACAAAATTGAAAGTATAGAGTGTGTGTAATGATTTTATTTAATCAGATTACACTTACTAACCAAGAACTTCTTTAGCAGAGCTACTAATTAATTAAATACATATGCTTTTAGCGAGGAGAATAAACCTAGCCTTGTGGTCATAAAAATTTTCGAGCACGATTAATGTACTCAGACTCGGATATCATTGACCAATCACAATACTGGATTTGGTGTTTCGAGCACAGATTGTGTGCTCCAAGTACTGAGTAAAATTTTATGACCGAGGGCTCTGGGTTCATGTTAGAGTTCAGACATATTTTCAATGTTCCACAGTACTAATATAGCACACAGCTGCTGCTGATATAAGAATAATAACATTTTCAATGAATATTTTATGATATACAAACACTTTCTTAGATGCTTAATTAATGTACTAACTCACACTATTGCTGATAAATTGATTGCACCTGTTTATGGGACACATTTCATACAATCAATATTACATATAAATATTTAACGCTATTTTCTCAAATTTTGCTTTGATTTTTTTGGTGATAATTTTTTATATCTCTTTACTCAGAGATATGGGTTTTTCTCAGTCGAGTAGTTAGAGACTGTCTGACGTCATGAGCCTATGTCATTGACATTGCCTAGGAAAATAGCTATAAACAGAATATCAATGGTCAATCAAACCCAAGGATGTCACTTGGATACATCTCATCTCAGGGTGGTCGTCCGTCAAAGAGATTGTAGCTGAGAAACACCCTCTCCTTTGAAAAACGTTAGATAATCTATAAATATTGTTTATAAAAGTCATGAGAAATATTCCTGGAATAATTTTCATTACATGTCCTCTAGAAGCACTGACTTTTCTTTAGCATCAAAGGCCAAATGTAGCCTGAACAAAACAGCAAAAACTACTAATGTGGATTTATTATTTGTTGGATACCAATTTTCGTGGATTTCGTGGTGAATCACGAATTTAAATGTTCAACTAAATTCAAATTTTCTATAGGTTTGTATGTAGACTTTTGTACAACCACGAAATTAAATATCCACGAAAATATAATTTGTCCTTAATCCACGAAAAATGGTAACCACGAAAATAAATGAATTCACAGTAAATGTCAATGTAACCAATATAGAAAGAAAAAGTGATTCCAATTCCCTTAGAATTTAGTATATTTCACATTTTCTATTCTTTTGTTTCCAAAAATTAGACTTATATTTAATCTTTTATTCCACATATTTTAAAATGATTCTATTCTATTTATAAGCATTTATATTCTTAACTACCTAAGCTAGTGCACGATTTTAGCTTCTATGTATACTTTCCCATGGTTATTTATTTCACAAAATATGCCTTCATGATTTTGTTTGTAATATTGGAATTATTTATTTTCATGCATTTGTTTATTTGTAATTTAAACACTGAGTTTTGCACTTTCTATTATGCATCCGTATGTTTTTTTAGAGTACATTTTTCGTGTAATATAACATTTGAAATTGAGATTATGAACATTATTTCAGTATTTTTGAGAATTTTTATTGACTTTAGATCTTACAAAGTCTTTGCAGTTATGTGTTTCTATCTGAATAAAATCTAAAATGTTTATATCTTTGTTTTCCAGGTGACGTTGTAGATAATATAGGTAGTCAAAGAAATGAACAGGTTAGTGTTGGTTGTCAAGGAGATATTTTCTTCGTTTTTTATCCAATTGGTGAACATTTCTACCTGATCACAGAATAAAGGAATATATATATAAATTTTTCCCCAATTCAAATTGAGAAAATGCAAAAATAGTAACAAGTGTGTATTGATATGAAAACAGAGAGAAAGATTTGGGTGTATTTTTCTTCCGTATACTTGTGAAAAGATATTTTTTTAAGTTGCACAATTAGATTTTGAATCATAACTTTGATAGTCATGCGCTGACTTTTCAAAAAATGAAAACAACACAATATGAATTTAATACGTCCAAAGCGCTTCTCTGGATTTACCTTCACCAGGAACGCTCAAAGTCCAATATTTGAAAGCCAAGGATGTATAAGAACTGAAACAGTTGAAGAGCTATTTTACCAAAAAGGACCTAAAAAAATAGCCAAATCCATCTAAAATCAACTTTGCCTGAGGGAGTTGAAACCTTAGTTTCTAATAGTTTCAAAACTAATCAATGGACAATTTTAAAAAGGTTTGTTATAAATCATGTCAGTATTGAAGTACTGAAGTACTGACTACTGAGCTGATGATACCCTCAGGGACTAATAGTCCACCAGCAGAGGTATCGACTCAGTGCTGTAAAAAATGAAAACAACACGTTATAAATTTCATGCATCCGAAACTCTTCTCTGGATTTACCCTCACCAGGATTCATCAAGGTTTTTTCTGGTGATTTTTTAATTGATTACTTCATCATTTAGAACTAGTGTTAATTAATAATCTCAGAAGAAATCATAAAACCGTATCTATTTTAAGTTATAATTTTGCTTAGTTAAAACACAGTGCACAGCCGTCACTTAATGAAACGATAGAAAGATTGTTATAGGATAAAAAAGTTTATGAACAAATTGTTTGGTGATGCATTCACCTGGCTATTGATTATCACCACAAAGTAATGGAAGAAGTGAGAATTTTTCAGTCAAACTTGATATATATATATATATGTATTTCTGCAACCTGAAGGTTTCTATGCCTATGGAAATTAAAGTTGGGCAACTATTAAGAAAAAGTATAAACATTTAGCTTATAAAATTTCATTTTTGTCGAGCCTTCGACTTTTGTCGAAAAAGCGAGACATAGCGATCCTACATTCCGTCGGCGTCGTCGTCGTCCGGGGCGGCGTCCACAAATATTCACTCTGTGGTTAAAGTTTTTGAAATTTTAATAACTTTCTTAAACTATCCTGGATTTCTACCAAACTTGGACAGAAGTTTGTTTATGATCATAAGATTATATTCAAAAGTAAATTTTGTAAAAAAAAAAATTCCATTTTTTCCGTATTTTACTTATAAGTGGACTTAGTTTTTCTGCCAGTTAACATTACATTCACTCTGTGGTTAAAGTTTTTAAAATTTCAATAACTTTCTTAAACTATCCTAGATTTCTACCAAACTTGGAAAGAAGCTTGTTTATGATCATAAGATAGTATCCAGAAGTAAATTTTGTAAAAAAAAAATTCCATTTTTCCGTATTTTACTTATAAATGGACTTAGTTTTTCTGCCAGGAAACATTACATTCACTCTGTGGTTAAAGTTTTTGAAATTTCAATAACTTTCTTAAACTATCATGGATTTATACCAAACTTGGAAAGAAGCTTGTTTATGATCATAAGATAGTATCTAGAAGGAAATTTTGATAAAATTTTGTTCCATTTTTTCTGTATTTTACTTATAAATGGACTTAGTTTTTCTTCCAGTCAACATTACATACATTCTGCAGTTTAAGTTTTTAAAACATTTATTAGATTCATAATTTATCCTGGATTTTTACCAAACTTGGACAGAAGCTACTTACAATCAAAACATAGTATAGAGGGGAATATTTTTATTAATTTTTTTCTTCATTTTTGTTGAGCCTGCGATTAACACCAAAAGTAGGCGAGACACTGGGTTCCGCTGAACCCTTACGAATTTTTGAAAAGGTATGAAAATAATTTCACAACAGCATTTTAGTCCTTAAACCTGGCTTCCTCACTTCTATGTTACAATCTGATCTTTTGTACATGTTTTGGTTACAAGGATTTGACAACACTCCGTTCTACTTTTTGTTCTGGTAGATTTTTTTACATCAGCCAATGGAATTTCAGCCTTCACATTTTTGATGGTGTGTATCATTACAATAAAACAAGAGGATTCCGAAAGGTCTTTAATAATAGAAACAGAAAGTAGAATGTAGTGTTGTCAGATCCATGTTACTGAAGCATGGTCTCATGGTGTGTATTTCAATTAGATTGTTCTATGTTAAGGGCAAACGATACAGTTACAGGGGAGATAATGATGTTGCTAACGTTATAGGTTGTTTTTCACGACGTCAAACAGTGACATTTCGGGAAAAGGTGCATTTTTCAAGTGATTTTAATCATTAGCTTGAAAACAAGCACATTGACCCCACTTTTTTAAAAGGACATTTGACTTCATGCTGTATATAGATTATTTGTTCCAATTTTTATGAAAAAATCCGAATGAATTATTTCAAAATTAAATAAATATGCAACAAAAAATGCTGTTTTTTTTTTTAACCAAAATCATGAAATTTTGATAAAAATGAATTATTTTCCAAGAATTGTTACACAAATTAAGAGCATACTTCTGTAAAGCAGATATTCCAAATCTTTTTACAAAAATCTGCATGTGTTTATCTTTTTAAACAAAAAAGTTAAGTATGTCTGTCCATAGGATAGAACTGTCCACAAAACTGAAATTTTAAGTAACCCCATTTATCACTAAATTTAGCACATGAAGGTATATTTTTTATTACATATTTGAATTAACTAAGTGAGAAATAGATTGCTTGTATGCAAATTTTTGTAAAAAAAAATCACCGTGTAATCAAAACTGTATCGTATGTCCTTAATTCCTTTTTCCTTGTAACAGGAAAACGAAAACAAATATTTACACAGAATTATGTAAAAGTATACATGTTTTTTCATGCTAGCAGTGTGATGATGAAAACTAGGTAAAGCTGAACATCAGTGTTGTATTTTTAGCTCACCTGACCTGAAAGGTCAAGTGAGCTTTTCTCATCACTTTGCGTCCGTCGTCCGTCGTCCGTCGTCCGTAAACTTTTACAAAAATCTTCTCCTCTGAAACTACTGGGCCAAATTTAACCAAACTTGGCCACAATCATCATTGGGGTATCTAGTTTTAAAAATGTGTGGCGTGACCTGGTCAACCAACCAAGATGGCCGCCACGGCTAAAAATAGAACATAGGGGTAAAATGCAGTTTTTAGCTTATAACTCAAAAACCAAAGCATTAAGAGCAAATCTGACATGGGGTAAAATTGTTCATCAGGTCAAGATCTATCTGCCCTGAAATTTTCAGATGAATCGGACAACCCGTTATTGGGTTGCTGCCCCTGAATTGGTAATTTTAAGGAAATTTTGCTGTTTTTGGTTATTATCTTGAATATTATTATAGATAGAGATAAACTGTAAACAGCAATAATGTTCAGCAAAGTAAGATTAACAAATAAGTCAACATGACTGAAATGGTCAGTTGACCCCTTTAGGAGTTATTGCCCTTTATAGTCAATTTTTAACCATTTTTCGTAAATCTTAGTTATCTTTTACAAAAATCTTCTCCTCTGAAACAACTGGGCCAAACTAAACCAAACTTGGCCACAATCATCATTGGGGTATATAGTTTAAAAAATGTGTGGCGTGACCCGGCCAACCAACCAAGATGGCGGCCACAGCTAAAAATAAAACATAGGGGTAAAATGCAGTTTTTGGCTTATAACTCAAAAACCAAAGCATTTAGAGCAAATCTGACATGAAGTAAAATTGTTTATCAGGTCAAGATCTATCTGCCCTGAAATTTTCAGATGAATCGAACAACCTGTTGTTGGGTTGCTGCCCCTGAATTGGTAATTTTAAGGAAATTTTGCTGTTTTTGGTTATTATCTTGAATATTATTATAGATAGAGATAAACTGTAAACAGCAATAATGTTCAGCAAAGTAAGATTAACAAATAAGTCAACATGACTGAAATGGTCAGTTGACCCCTTTAGGAGTTATTGCCCTTTATAGTCAATTTTTAACAATTTTTCGTAAATCTTAGTAATCTTTTACAAAAATCTTCTCCTCTAAAACTACGTGGCCAAATTAAACCAAACTTGGCCACAATCATCATTTGGTTATCTAGTTTTAAAAATGTGTGGCGTGACCTGGTCAACCAACCAAGATGGCCGCCACGGCTAAAAATAGAACATAGGGGTAAAATTCAGTTTTTGGCTTTTAACTCAAAAACCAAAGCATTTAAAGCAAATCTGACATGAAGTAAAATTGTTTATCAGGTCAAGATCTATCTGCCCTGAAATTTTCAGATGAATCGAACAACCTGTTGTTGGGTTGCTGCCCCTGAATTGGTAATTTTAAGGTAATTTTGCTGTTTTTGGTTATTATCTTGAATATTATTATAGATAGAGATAAACTGTAAAAAACACTAAATGTCGGCAAAGTAAGATCTGCAAATAAGTCAACATGACCGAAATTGTCAGTTGACCCCTTTAGGAGTTATTGCCCTTTATAGTCAATTTTTAACCATTTTTTCGTAAATCTTAGTAATCTTTTACAAAAATCTTCTCCTCTGAAACTACTGGGCCAAGTTAATTATAGATAGAGATAATTGTAAGCAGGAAAAATGTTCAGTAAATTAAGATGTACAAACACATCACCATCACCAAAACACAATTTTGTCATGAATCCATCTGCGTCCTTTATTTAATATTCACATAGACCAAGGTGAGCGACACAGGCTCTTTAGAGCCTCTAGTTTAGACTAGGATATTATTTATATATTTTTAGAAATTTTTTTGTGTCTAATTTTTGTTGAGCCTTCAACTTTTGTCGAAAAAGCGAGACATAGCGATCCAAAATTCCGTCGTTGTCGTCGTCGGCGTGTCCACAAATATTCACTCTGTGGTTAAAGTTTTTAAAATTTTAACAACT